AAATCTATTAGTGCCATATAAATTAGGATAGAGGAAATAACATATATTATTTGAAATAACATGAAACGTACTACAAATCACACAATAATTAACAACTTCAAAATTTAAAGGACATACAAAAAAATTGATCAAACTCTCAAAATTCTACTAATGTCACATAGTTTGGGATAGAAAAAGTAACATATACGTAAAATGTATTATAACTCATAATAACTAAATAACTTCAAAATCTAAAAGACATATACAAAAATTGTTTGACTTTCGAAATTCTATCAATGACACATAAATTGGGACAAAGAGAATATTGAAAATTACATATAAAGTATTATTAACCACAATAATCAACACTTAAAATTTAAAGAACATACAAAAAAAATTGTTTAGACCGTTAAAAATTTTATTAATGTCAAATAAATTAAAATAAAAAATAAAAATATATGTTGGGCCCATGCTAGCACGGGCTACTGTAACTAGTATATATATATACATGAACCCGTCGTGTCGTTTGGCCATAGAGTTTCCAAGTAAAAATTGGAAAAAAATTTAGTAAATAGTGTTTGTTCATACAATTTGTCATTATTTGATAAATATTTTTGGCAAATTCTCAAATATTAGAAAAAAAACTAGTATTTGGGTCATATCTCATTAATTTTTACGTGAACACCAAAACAATGATGAAATATTAAGTGAATAAGAAAGTGATGATATGGTTATTGATAAAAACGACGAACAATCGACTTAGGATAACAAAGTCATATGTTTCGTCTACTTCACAATGTATGGAGTGATGTTTGTTGCACTAACTCTAAATTACCACATTGCTCCAGTGTCATGGACACTACTTGTTACTCAATATGCCTATTTAATAAAGTATACCTCCCTTCCCAATAATAACTTCAATATTATCAACAAGTGGGTCATAATTACTTAAGACTAAGGTGAAATTCTTGGTGCAATTCTTGCCAAATATACATGTGATAGTGGGATCTAAGGTAGTGAAGGTAAGTTTGTTTATGGAAATTTGAAGAGATAAGGAAGATGAGAAGCTAGTTCAGACTAGGTAAGTCCCGACTCCTCTTTTTTTTAAATTATGACCCAAAAATTCTCAACCCTAATAATTTATTTTCTTATATGGGTCAAGTGGTATATGGTATTAATCAAATTATAAACTTAACCCATTAAGCATTAAATAAAATTAGATATTTAATAATTAACCATCATTTAATTAACTCTAATTAAATGAATATTCAAAATTTCCAAAAATGACCTTCTGGGTCGGTCATTACATAAAGTTTAATAATCTATTAACATACATAATGAAAAATCTGTCGTACTTAAAACAAGATTGAGTGCAAACATCAAATATTTGTATTACATAAAACCCAAATATTACATTAATTAAAATACACATTCATTTTGCTGATATACGTTGCTTCATAGATGCTTCCTTTATCCCTCTGCACAAATTAAAACATTATTAATTAGTGCCAAAAAACATTGAATTTACTATTTACATAGGGGTGATTAATTTTTTTTCTTCTATACAATTAATTAATTAGTTAAGTTTTTTCAATTCAATAAATTGTGGAATCGTCTTAACCTTTGATTCCTCCATTATTTGTATTACATTGTTAGATTAGGTCTTAGGCCTAACTCACACCCCAAAAGCTAGCTCAAAGGGAGGAGGATTGCCCAAGCCTTATAAGGAGTCCACCCATCTCATTAACCACCGATGTGGGACTTTTGTCATTCTTTAACATACATGTATTTTATATGAGTTAGACATCCTCAAATGAGACGTGGATGGATGAGTTTATGGTCGATGCCAGTGGTGGTGGTGGATATTAACACAGTAAACTTTAACAAATAATATTAACACTTGTAAGCCATTATATTAATTAATTACCTGTGAATTTTTGACGGCCTAGTTAGTTGAAGACGTCTTCATCAAGAGAGATGTGGATGGATCAGGTTATGGCCGGTGCCGGAGGAGCTTCATGCTCATTGGCACGGAGGCGGCGTATGATAATACGCAAACACCACCATAGAAATGGAACTAAGGCAAATTTGAGAGTGAAGTTAATTGTAATATAGATGTTTATGGCCGGTGCCGGTGCTGGAGGAGCTTCATGTTCATCGGCACGGAGGCGGCGTATGATAATGCGGAAACACCAGCATAGACATAGAGCTATGGTTACAATAGGGGCAAAGTTAATTGGAATGTACATGTTTATGTTCAAATCCATGATAAAAGCTTAGTTATGTAAGCAGCCAAGCACAACCAAGGTTTTATAGGCCTAACTGTAATACAGGCCTTCAATTTTGCATTATTATCAATCACATTTTATTCATCACCGAGTTCGTTTAAATTAAATTAAAAGGCGTTAAATTATGTTACTGACACAAACCACAAGTAGGAGTATAACGCTATAAGGTCTTTCACTTCTTACTAAGGAATTTCCCAATCACATTTAATTCACTTTGACAACTTCCTACTTTGACAATTTTATTTCCTTTTTGCCTGCTTTCTATTTTTTCACTAAATATAACAATCTATGTATAAATTATGCGGGATAGAAGGTGAAATAACTTATGTGGGAGTGCAATTAATGTATCTTATTTATTGGTAATCGAGATATCAATAAAACTAATTCATAACCTTGGATGTATGTCCCTTTATTTTATTTTGAGATAAAGTAATTCATAATTTCAGATACAATGAGAGGTTTAAATTCCTTAAGAACGCATAGTAAATTTTATAGTCTCGAATATTTTATATATAATTTTTTTTTCAAACGATGTATTCGTCTGTTTGAATAATCAAGTATTGACACGTGTAAATAAATGTGCTTTGTTGTTTAAATTAGGATTCGGCTCCTGTCCAATGGATGTAGCATCCAGTTGGTCCAGTGCCCCTTTTATCTGTTGCCATCTATCACATAATGATATAAGGGTCAATAATTATTCCACCTAAACAACCTCTTAAACCATGGTTAAGCTACAATATCTTTTTTGATTGTATCTCAGATATATGTGAATCCACTTGGATACATTGTATCTAAAACAAATTACACCTAATTTTGACTGTGTATATCCCGAGATTTGAACGCGCCAAAATATGATAAAATTCATAATATTACAAACTAGAGATATCTAAATAATTAACTTCTAAACTAGTAGGATTTTTGTAAATTTCTTAAAAAATTCCTCATGGAGCAAAACAGGTCAATAAAGATTCCAACTCATTATTGTTTTGGATTTGTTGGTTGATATTAGAGGTTTGAAAAAAAAATCCTTGCATATCTTTGTTTGACTTGGATAGTTGATTACACATGAGGACTGAGGTTCCTTGATTCCATCTCTTTTTTTCAAGCCTCTAATATGAGAGTGTGATATTGAATATAATATAGTAATTAATATGTGAGTGTGACATGAGGACTGAGGTTCCTTCCATGTATTTGTAGTTTGTTTCCTCTTTGTTGGTCGGAATTGTGGGTCTTTTGTACTTCTAAATACCCATTGCATTTTCTGTTAATAAATACTGCTGACGTCCTCATTTCTTGCGTCATTAGATGACCTACACATTAATATAATCCCCAAAGTCTTTACTCGTTTGGTTTGAAGATAAGAAAATTAAATATGAAATTTATTCGTAATTTGTAGCTAAATAAAATAAGCATGAGATTTTTGTTATCCTGATATTATTTCTTATTGACGGTTTGATTTGTTATATTAAAAGTAATATGTATTATCGATTTCTTAGAATAAGCTGTTTGTTTTCAAAAGGCATAATACATAAATATGTCCTTTAACTTGGCTTCATTTCATATTTATGCCCTTCAACTATAGATATGTACAAATAGACATTTAAATTTGTATGAACAAGTAGACACATGAGTCATATGTGGCATAATACACGTAGGACACAAATTGCCATGTAGAATAACCACGTCCGACATGTGTGTTTATTTATTTAAGTTTAAGTGTCTATTTGTGCACACCCAAAGTTGGAGAACATAAATATGAAATGAGGTCAAGTTAAATGACATATTTATGTATTTTGCCTTTATAAAAATATCATCCAACATATTTAATTTTATATATATATATATATATATATATATATATATTAATGATGTATTAAAAGGATCTGAGAGGGTATTTTTAGTCCTTTTTCTATTTCTATATGAAATAGGCCAGAATATTTTAGGATTGGATAATCTATGAATTATTTTATTCTTTTTTTTCTATATCAGCTATTAATAAGTAAGTTATGTTACTGAATTATCCAGGTATTTGCTTCGAAAATATGTATATATAATTTTACTACTTCTCTCTATTGGTTTTTTTTTTTTGTCATAAAAGGAGTTAAAACTCATCATTAATGATTCTCCCAAACAGCTTCAACGCTGTCGACAGTGAAAGATTTTTTTATTTTTTATTCTATGTTTGTAACAAATTAAAGTTCATTTAATTAATTTATGCGTTTGTCTACTATATTAATTGGATTGTTAAGTTATTTTTTGTGTCTCATATTAATTGATCGTCTTACTAAAAATAGTTATCACGTATTAGTCGTCTATCACCTTACGATATTACCCTTGCAATTTTTTTATTTTTTTAAAGTGTTCACATTTGTTTGTAAAATTCCTAAGAAGTTTTTTAAAGGGTGAATTAATTCATTAAAAATAGAGAAATAAAATTGAACATGAATTGTAGTATAGTAGTCTTTAATATAAGTCGTTTGTTGGTCAAAATCAGTAGTAACAATATTCCATGAATATTTTGTCATTCTTTTGGTATTCTCATAAAAAAATATATAGATATTATATAGTGGATTAAATTTATTTTTTTACAAAATGTAAATTTATGGATCAATTTTTATACTTGAAAAATGTGAAATCATGATATAAAATTCCATAATCAAGCTTTTTGGAGAACTTTAAAATAATCAAATGTCCAAACATTAATTTCATCTCGTGATTTCAAATAACAAAATGAAATCGCATATTTATACACCTACTAGTACTCCCTCCGTTTCTTTTTATTTGTCCTTCGTATTAAAATAGATTTCTCTATTTCTTCATATAAGCTCATAATTTGAAATATATTTTTGTATTTGCAATTGGGCAATTCATCAATTACTAAAATTAAGTCAAATTTTGATATACTTAAAATTTAAACAACTTGTGAATGTTAGGGAAAGAAGAAACTTGTACATCCGCTTTCTTATGATGTTTCCTCCAAGTCGTAGGGAAATCTTTTTGTCAAAGTAGTGAGATTTTGTTTTGATTTGTCATTTAATTTCTCTCTTCTACACATGTATGTAACGTTTAAATTTCTATAGGTTGCCTTTTGGGTGTCTTTTGGTTTGGTTAAATTAAATTGTAGTAGTAATTTTTATTTTATACTTTATCTGTCCAATTAGTGGCAGAGTTACAATGTCCTGAGGGGGTCAATTGAACATTCTTCGACAGAAAATTATATCGTATGTATAAGTAAAATGCAGTCATTCATCGAAAAAAAATTGCTTTATGTAATGCTTGGACACTCTTCATAAAATTTCTAGCTTCGCCACACTGTGTCCAACAATAGTTGTTTACTATTGACTTGACACGCCCCTTAAGAAACGATAAATAATATCTACAAGTGTAGTAAACTCTCCCTACAACATCTTCTTATCATTTTTCACTTTTGTTTCTTTAAAACAAATCAAGAAAGTTTTCAAACTTTATCAATAAGACAAAACCATAAAATCCCCTTTTTTTTTTTAAAAAAAAATGTTTTATTTTTTTAAGGTGGTCCATTGTTTGGAGTACTAGAAAAAGAAAAGAGTATTTATCAATATATTGAGGGGGGGGGGGGAGGGGGAGGTAGAATTTGTGTGTTTTCTTGAAACTTTGCCATTATCAATATTATTATATTATCCTTTGACTTTATTAAATTTAATATTTTAAAAATTATGTTAAATAATGTAAATACGTAGTATTTAATAGTAATGGTAAAATAGATACAATAGGTAAATTATCTCTTGATTTTCTAAATTGGACAAATATTTTTAGTATAGTGGACAACTATTATTGTACGAAGGGAGTATGCTTTTGAGTTTCTTTTGAGTTTCTTGTTGTTTGTGCATAGCGTTCTTTCCCAATTTTTAGCTCTTCTTTGAGGGTTTTTTGAGTTTGGTTGAATCTCGTTTTTTAAAATCCTTTTGTTTCACAAGAGGCTAATCATACATATAATACATAAACGTCTCTGTTTAACTTGGGTTCAATTGATATATATATATATCCTCCAATTTTGGTGTGTATAAATAGAGACTTGAATAAAATTGAATGAGTAGACATATGCATCATACATGGCTTAATACACGTATGACGTGAATTATCAGGTAGGATGTGATGCAAGATGCATGTGTCTATTTGTTTTAACTTCATACAAGTTTAATCAACTAAAGCTAAGTTAAAAGACACGTTTATATATTATGTCATTTTCATTTAAATTATTTTATATTTTAATTGATCTTTTGTATGAGCTGAAACAAGTGACTTGCGGTGTTGGGCATGTACTCAACACAGGCGCTCTTATACTAGTGGTGCAAGAAAGGTCGGCTCAAATTTTAAAAGCGTTTTTGAATTGGTTTTTCGCTTATGACTTAGCTCATGATTCATATTTAAGGGATTTAATTAAATTAAATCAAACAATAATGTTAGAGTTAATCAAAAGCAAACAATAAATAATCACAATTAAACAGTTTAAGAGTAAAAGAGAAATTGAATTTGGGGCCTTCGGGCCTGAATTCTCTGCTGCCTGAAAGGTAGGCTAATGGCCCATTTCTGAGTCTGCTTAAACTTATAGGTTTTGGCCCATTTGCTGTGTATATCAGCTGTATATATTTATCGTATATCAGAGTATATCAGCTCCTTCCACCTGTGTATTAGCTTTCATTTCATTTGTACCTCCACTTCCTTTTCTCGAAGACACCTAAGGCTGACTCGATAATGAATTGGGTTTGGGAGATGGGCTGGATGGAAATTTGGAAAAAATTGGGCTGATTGGAATTCAATTGTTGGGCTGC